AACTTTTTATAAAAAAAAAAAAAAAAAAAAAATTAAGAAAAGCAAAGAACATCCCATGCCATGAAGGAAATACTGAGAAACAAAAACGGGATAGTTACTACTACTGTGATCTTTGCCTAGACATAGTCGTTTCAGGGTGGACCCTACAAGGTAAAACAATACAAGACATACAGAATTAGGTAAGACTAAACACAACCAATCGGACGGACAAGCTTCTGTACTTTTAAGCAATCAGAAAGTAGTTATTATGCAAGAAAGGACAGACAAAGTCAGCAGTTCAGGTGAGTAAAGGAAGCCTAAGTCACTGGACAGCTCAAACCTCTCTTAATGTGCAGCCATTCAGAAGCTTTGGAGAGTACAATCGCATGCCAAAAGCGAGGTCTGGGGACTGAAAGATGCATTTGTTGCAGTTTTTGGGTTGGGGGGGGGGGTGGTGGGTTGGTTTTTTTTTTTGGGGTCCCCCCCCGCCCCGAATTGCCTTGGCTTCCTACCGGGAGGGTTTGATTCCTACCCTGTTTGTGCAGGAAATGATGTCAATTCAGTTCGTGATAGGAGGCCAAAAATGCTTTCAGGAACAAGTCAAGCTAGTCTGGCTGCAAAGACAAACTGTAAACCAACCCTAAAAGTCCCGTTTTACAAGTCCAAAAAGATACATTGTTCTGCAGGTCTGAGGCCAATTGTTTCCAAATACTTCGTTAGTCAGATTTGTGCCTAAATGTGAGATTCTGAGCTTCAATTGAAAGTAACCCTGAATGAGTTGCCCTTGTGCCTTGTCTGAGCGCGGAAAAACAATCCAGCAGAGTCGCTGAGTTTTCGTTTAACCAAACTATGTGGGTTTTTTCATTATTATCTCGTTACATCCTTCGTCAGGATTTTAGATATTCTGTTGGATAGACAGTTCGCGTGCCAGAAGCGTGGCAAGAACCCTGCTTGGCTGTCAGATCTTGCCAGACATAAGCACCGTTTCTCTGAGTGCCCAATTTCCTGAAAGGTATTTTGGACTTGGTAAGAAGAATATCGTTATGGTATGGGAGGAGATGAACATCTGACATGGGGCATGGCAAGTTTATTGTGAAGAAGCACTTGAAAACATGAGCAAAAACCAGAGAGTGGGGCAAAAAGCAAGACAGAGGATGTGCTTTTTCCTCTACAGCAAAGCAGTGTCAATATTTTATGTTACTGTGCCAGAAATGCAGCTTTAAATTCAGAGATTGCAGGTCCAGGTTGACGTAGGCTCTGAATGAGTCCTCAAAGGAGAAAGGAGAGACATCAGTCAGAGACTGAGGAAGAGAAAGTAAAGAAAAGCAGGAGGTAAAAAAGGAGAAGAAACATTTGTGCTTTGATATGGGTGGCATGAGGAGGAACAGAAGGACTGCATTGAAAGATTTTTCTTATTATTTCACATAGTTTCATGAGGTTTCTATTCCAGGAAAGTCAGAAGGACATGACTACAGCAATGTCTTATGCAAGCGTGACTGAGTTCAGTTTCTCATCTCGAAGCCTAGACAACAAATACGAGTCACATTCCCAGCTGAACAAGCTGCGGTCCATTTTTAATTTTTTTTCCCCCTCCGATACACCTTACCTTGCCTATCTCTTAAAGTTAGCTGGCAACTCCCACCGCGGAAGCATCCGCGGCAGTAATGCCAGAATGCTCTTTTCTTAACTATCCCGCAGCATTCTGCACATAGCAGTAGGGAGTATTTGGCGCAATCTGTATGCAAATGGAAAGCAACTGCCCGCGAAAAATCAGAGCGGGCAGCTGACTACGGTACGTGCTCAAACGCGTGTCAAGGTTAATCGCCGACCCCTCCGCTCCCTGAAATCAGAGTCACAAGTTCACCCGCACCTCGGGTGCCAAATCGACGCCGGGGCCCCCAGGCGCGTGGGGAAGCGGCAGGGACGGGCGCTGCTGGGCAGGCTCACCGAACACCCGCGCGGGTCGAGCCAGCGCGAAGGGAAACGCTACAGGAGAGTCGAGCCCCAGGAGGAGAGCGGCTTCTTCCAAACCGTATCGCTCCGGCACGTTGCTTGGGAGACGAGAAACGTTATCGAAGTGGTGACGCTGCCTGAGGCAGGGACTGACAATCATCGGTTTTAAATTCAATTAAAAATGTACTTGGCAAAGCTAATTGAACAGATTCATTGTATTACTTTTAAAATCAACGTGTTTAATAGCTGTAAAGTTAAGGAGATGAATCATAATTAAAATTTAATCTAAGACTGCAGAAGATCAGCAGAGCGTTTTACCTCCGATTCCAGATTTCTTATCTGAGAAATTAAGTAGCTATTATATCATACAGGACAGAAAAAAAAATCCACTGTCCCATATTTGTGCTTCAACGGCTGCCAAAAAGCTTGAAAGCTAAAATAAAACTGAAATGGCAATAAAAGGTAATCATATATGCACATACAATACAGTAATTACTAGAGACCTGACAAAAATCGCGTTACACAAGATGACAAGCCTAAGCCAAATGGAGCTTTCGAAAATTCCACTCACAATCAGCGCAAAGCCTTCCCTCCGGTGCCCTTGCAACTTAACCCCGGGAAGGAGCTCGGGCTAAAATTATACTGAAGCCCATCAAAAACATTTTATCCCATGAAAAGCGCAAAGGCAAAGTCAATATTGGATGTGGGGAAGGGATCAAAAAGCTGTTCTGGGAGAACACTGTGGAAGTGTTGAAGTCTGGTGGATCTCGTAACCAGGGCAAGACATCGGGTAAAACTATCTTTAATGCACCTGAATATTTCTTTTTAAAAGCATGCTGCTAATTTGCCCGCTCAAACGGGGCTCGCGCTGGAATATCCAGGCTCCCCAGAGGGCTGCTTTTCCTTGATCAAACCTATAGATCCAGAGCATTTCCAGCACAACTTTTCCCAGCAGCTCTCAAACGGACAACAAGTCCGCAGGGGACCGCGACCCGCGGAGCAGAGCCGGGACCCGGAGCTGCCTGGCCGAGCCCCGGTGTTCGCCCTCCCGGAGGGGAAGCCACCATGCCCATCCTCCGCACT